TGTGTGTGTGTGTGTGTGTGTGTGTGTGTGTGTGTGTGTGTGTGTGTTATCGGGGGCCGCCCCTCGCCGTGGTTAAAGTTTACTCTGGCAATAACGGCGCCGCTTTTTACGAGCCATAACAAGCCGTCTTCGCCGGTCATTAGCAGACATAAGCACCGTGGACTGGCCGCAGTGGGTCTCCAGAGGAGCCATAAAGAGGCATCAGCCGAGCGGAGGCTGATCCCCGGGATGTGGACGCTGGGAGACTGCGGGGGTTTGGACACGGGATCACTGCGCTCCGCTTGTGTTTTGTTTCCCCCTCAGATGCCTTCCAGCATTCCTCCTCCGGCGCGCGCAAGACCGGGCGGGGGGGGAAAGAGATTGGCGTTTTGGAGAAAATATTGAATTAGAGAAAGAAAGAAAAAAAAGGGGCAGAGAGGGAGAAATGAAGGAGAGGGAGAAATATTGACTCCTTCTGGGAAGGAGCGAGACGGCAACGCCTTTCCAATAACCATAAACCCACTGGGCTGAAAATAGACGAGCCGAATGAATAAACGAATGTGTTCATCCCCACATGAGCTCTTCTCTCTTTCACGGACGGAGAGGGAGTGGAGGTGACCCTCCTCCCTATCCTCCTTGTTTCTCTCTCCCATTTCACTGAGGCCATCATTTCTTCACCATGACGAGAGATATTAACCGGAACAAAACAGGTGTTTATGGGAAGCCTTCCCTCCATTGAGGTACACACACACGCACACACACACACATTTCCCCGTGCAGCATAAAGGTGTTGACATCGGTGCCTGTGAAACAAAAGTAACATCTGTTTCACATTTCACACGGCCCCCCCACCCACCCCCCTTCTTTCATGTCTCTGGCCCATGTGGACATACTTTACTCAAACCTTGGTATGGTTTATCCTCTTAGGACATCCAGTGACATAATTCACACTATCCCTAAACACTGCAACTATGTGCCTTACCCCCAACCTGATCCGCTCTTTTACCCACTTAACAACTGGGACGGTTTAGGAGAAATGTCCTCAGTTTGAGAATGGTGGACGAGTTTGTGAGATTTCAAACTAGGTGCTCATAACGTTTAACTCTTAGAACTGGACTTGATGGTGTCAGTGTGGCAAATAAATATATAAGTTCTCGTGTGGCTGTGCTGTTCCTTCCTGTTTTTGGGGAGGGGGGAGGGGGGGGTTAGCATGGGACATTGTTAAACAAGAGAAATAATCACTATCAAGTTCACACATCAAGTTAAGTCTGCATCAGTCCATCTTCCAGGTTTTTCTCTGTGCGCTCCAGTGGAAACTCATCTGATGCTTCTGTTTGTCCACATTTGCATTGACATGTGCCTCCAAATAGGCACATGGTATTTTTTCTCCCATGAATCTTGGCTCCTGTTTTCATTGAGCGTCTCAAATACTCCGTTTACACAATTTCCCCCCAAAAATTAAATACGAACCATCTGACCACACCCGCACACCACATGGTCGAAGATCTATTGACAAATGAGTGTTTGGAGTCGTCTGCCTCTAGATTCCCAAACACTGGGGGATTGATCTACACGTCTTCTGGAAAGTGGAGCCTGGCAGCAGATTTTTCTCCCTACCGCTAACGGCGTTTGTGAGTTCAGCCGCTGATGTCATGTGATCGGGCCTGGCTGTCAGTTCGGCCCGAAGGTGTCAGGTGGCCGGTGGTAGGAGCCCCCGCAAGCCGGTTCGGGTTCTCACACACCAAAACTTGGAAAGCTCGTTCTCTTTTGGATCTCACTCTGTCTGTGGGCATTGTGTTGGAGGCCAGACTGTCGAACCCCCGAAGATGAGAGCGCAGTGAAGTAACACGAGTCCCGTTCACTGGGCCGAAGGGACCCAACCCAAACAGCGAACCCCGGCGCCTGCGAGCTGTAGGCCACACTGTTTACTTTTAAGTTCTGAGACGTCTTCCGTCTCCACCTTTAACTCTGCAAAAGGGAATGGAATCTGAGTGTGGTTTGAAAAATGACATTTGAAAAGCTCAAACCAAATCACTTGTTTTCACAGAACGTGCTGTGAGCAGTTTTCTTTGGAACTGCACATCTTGACCCAAATAGCCCCAAAGAAAACCCCTAACAGGAAACTCTGGGGACGACCTCCACCAGAAAACGAGTTCTGCATAGACACAAAAACATTTCTGCAGGCCTTGGAAGATGATTATCTCTCCTGTTTTTTTTTGTTTTTTTTGTGAACAGTTTTTTCACGCATAGAGACAGAGGCATCAGTCATGTGACAATAACACACTTAACCAGACCATCAAGACCAGCCGTATAGTAAACAGCTGCAACCACAAAGGGCTGGGAGCACTCATTCAGCTCGTCCTTCATTCATCTGCTTGCTGACTTCTCCTCTCAGGCAGTCATTTCTCATTCTGCTCATTCAGCTGGAACTGCACGCTCTAACCAGCCTGTGCGATCCCACTTCCCAGAAACATCACATCCGTCTTCTTTTCCATCTCAATCCGCAAACGCTCGTTTCCCCAAAACCTGCAGATCACCCCTCACAGCCTTTGTGTCACCCTCTTGAACCCTCCTTTTCACTCTTTCTCCTTCTCCTTCTCCTCCTTACCCACATCGCCTGCTCCCCTCTCACTCTGGGAAGTCATGTGACTTCTCTGAAGCGGAGCCCTATAAAGCAGCAGTGTACTTGGGGGGCTCAGATCGTGTACCATGCCTTGATTGGCTCTCGCTTTTTTGATGCACGCACACACAGGCACACATGTGTTTCAGACCCCCTGTTTCCCTCTTTCGGGAACAAATGCAATTTTGGGAGGGGGGGGTGCATTGAAAAAACAGTCACAGGAGGGGGTCGTGATAGAGTGCGTGTGTGTTTGTGTGTTGCACGTCTCTGCAAGTGTGTATGCCTGTACTCCTTTTTCTGTTAAGTATTCAAATAGAAGATTGCTCATTTGTATTCAATGAGTGAGCTGTTCCGACAAGAGGAAATAAGTGATCACAGCTGGAGTAGTGGCATCAATGACATGTTGGGGGATGTGTGCTGTCCAAGGCCAGTGTTGTAGCTGAATGGATTGTTTATATCAACTGAACCTTTTGTTGGGGCAAAACCGAGGAGCCCAACACTGGGATACAGTCATATTCATCAGCAGCTCCGTTTTGGTGTAAAGCTTTTTTGCTGTGTTTAATTCGCAGAGATCTTTTGTACAATTTGAAATTGAACCCGGAAAGTTGTTTGGGTCGTGACTCATCGCAACACTGGATGTGTTTCTCTGACCACGGTGTATCTAAGGCTGCAGGAAGGGAACGGAATGAATGATTTTACCCACCGTTGAAACCACACCGTGGACTGTTGATACAGAAATGTCAAACACGCTGGAGTCTCTTTGATATCGGGTGCCTCTATATTGTGTAGCTGAAAGACAGCCAGAGACACATTTTTCCTGAAGCGGTCAGTTCACACTCGCAACTATTTGAGTGGTTTCCGTGAAATTCTCAGCAGTCGTTTATGATATCCAGAGGATTCCTGATGACTTACGTATGACTGTAGCCTGTAAATTTCCCAGCATTTATAAAACGGATTGTCCAGAGGTTTTTGTACACATGTTCAAAATCCTTGGAGGGAAAAAATTACAATCATTTACGTGATCTCATTTTTCTTCGAGAGAGTGAGGGCTGGCTTCTGTTCAGGAGTTTCCAACAAATCATTATATTGTGCTGTGGTGGAAGACGCTCACTTTCCTTTACACCATTTAATGTGCTCTACTTTTTCTGAGATGGAAACACCGTTAAAAGAAGAGCAGGTAAATGAAATAATAATTAAATGCAACCTTTGAACATTGGACATTGGTGGTCATCAGTTCATCGCGACCCGGCTCGGTTAAAGAAACACCGAAATAGCTGTGAGCCCTCAACATGCACAGCCATGCGTGTGATTTTGTTTGCTAAGGGGCAGAAAAACACCATCAGAAACCCATGAAAATAGAAAAGTGACCATAGAGCAAAACCGTGTGACGCAAGGCTGGAAACCAAAGTTGTGAAATGTGGTATCTTAACCCCCTCCTGTACTCCTGGGTAGTTTCAGGCCCAGAACAAAAAAAGTCAGTGTTCTTCAGAATGTCTCAGAAGCACAAAGCTTAAAGCATCTGTCACATTCATTTGCCGGTGTTGCTCTGAGAGAACACTGTGATCCAGAAAAGTCAACATTTCAGCTGAACAAGCTCACTGTGCTGCTTTTGTTTCTCACACTGGGCACTAAATGATTTGTCAAGAGATTTCAAAACTGTGGGAGAATGTGTTTGTACGGACCTCACGGGAGTTGTGGTGCTTCCATTGTTTGCTGCAACGTGCTCCTAAAAGTCAACCCAGCCTGTTTTGAGACTTAAGTCTTTGTCACATTGTTGAGCTACAACAACATTCAAAGAAGTCCACTGTTATCTTGAATATTTACTCTTGTTCTTGTGCAATTCTAGGTACTGCTGTCACTTCCAGACGGGAAGCAGGCGAAGTTGCGGTAAAGAGTTGCTGACCCTGTCAACAAGGCCAAAATATGTGGTCTGACTGGGTCCTACAAAAGGACGAGCAACTAACTGCATAATGACAACATTTTTGACTGACTTAATGGTTGAAAACACCCACTAGGTGCATGATGGGAAACACCCTGCAGTCGGTGACTTTATTCTCGATGCAATCGTCTTTAGATGGGAAACGTTTTCACTGAGTTGACTCATGTATGAGAAGCATTAGTGACATATCACACACATAGCCTTTGCTGTTTTTGTTGATTCACAACCTACACTGTCAAACACATTCTACTTCTACCTTCTTCTGCAAGCTGATTGCAAGCAGACAGACCCAATTTAACAAGTTGAAATTTTACAAATACTGTACATGCGCTTTTTTTGTTTGTTAACCCCTCGAAGCCTGATCCAAGAGAAAAATGTTACATTTTTTTAGCCGTTTAACAAAATGTGCCGCCATTTTCTAATATTCAGCATTTGTTACCATGCAATAGGTCCAAATTAGTGTTTGAAGTCTATTATTGCGAGTCCTTACTTTCTCTCTTTCTTTTGAGGTGCTATCATTCACTCTTTGTTTTGCCTCTTAAATGAAGTTTTCCTGTAGTGTTTATCTCCTCGTATATCATTGACAAACTTTAGGTTTTCATTTGACATTTAGACTATTCTTCTCTTTATTTACAATTATGATGTTTACTCTTTACTTTCAGTAAGTTTGACCTGTTACCACAATTCAATGCCGCAATCAAGGGCAACCGGGAGGACAAAATGTTCCGATATCTGTCCAGGAAAAAATGCTAGAAAATGTGACAAGAAGTCGGATTTCCGAATTGCTAACTCCAAGTTACTCAACCTCAACTTCCACATTTTTCGCTGTTCCTCATATTGGCGGCTCGCAAAGTAAACTCCAAATTGTCCTTTTAGTTCATCTTGTTTGGATAAAGCTGTAGAGACAGTCCCTTTAGTTTAATTGACCACCATCTGTTTCTTAAGTTAACAGACTGGTGATTAGAGTTTATTGTTTGAAAGCAAATGAACGATGCAAGCAAAGCGTTGTCAGCCGTCACCTGAGAGTGTTAGAGGGATTGGTCCGAGTCCACGTTTTTACAGGAAGCCATTTGGCATTTGAGCTCCTCTGCTGCTACGCTTGTGCAGCTGTGAATGGAGAAGAATGCTTAGAGGGAAAAAAAAAGAAGAAAAATCTGAGTTGAGACAGTACATCTGTGACCATGGCAACATGACTCCCAACCGCCTTTTACAAATTATTTCCATATTTGACGTCGGCCAGTGTGAGCCACACCCGTGCGTTCACGTGACGGGCATGCCCAGGTGTCACCGGATTTCTATCAGGGCCGTCATGTAATTGGAGTTGGTCAGAATGAGCTTTTAGCTCTATAGAGTGGGGGGTAGGGGGATAATGAGCTTTGAAAACACTGTGGTTTGCGTTTCTATGTGTCACGGTGAGCTGGTCAGCTCAAGTCGAACCCAGGCGTCCTCACAGGCTGCAACCCATGCAAAGTCATAGCTGCACACATAGCGTTTGAGTGCCTTCGCCTTTCCGAATGCTCCCCATATGGTTTTTATTGATCCGTGTCCCAGTTATACCCCTTCTGCTGCCTCACGCTCTCGCTGTCTGCGCGCTGCCGATGGTGAAGGAATGATGGAATGCTGGAGGGTAAATCTCTGGTTTCCTGGAAGCCAGTCTGCCTTTATCAGAAGCGGCTGTGACAATACTTGAACTGATGGGCCAACCGAACGTTTCCTATAAGAGGCGATCAGGGAGCGGAGAGCCTTCCTGGAAGAAATAATCAGCAAACTGGAGACCCTTCCTGGAAAGGTTGTCGTGGATTGCCAGTTGCAGGGCATTTTCCTAACCACTTAATATTCCCTCCACCTTTAAGGATTGACATGCTGACATTGGCAGCGACTCCGGTATATCATGAAAAACACACAGGCTGTTGATATTAAGATTTTAATCAGGCTCCAAGAACATTATTAGTCCAACAGTGTTCCCACAGCTCGACTTGCCTCTCATTCTTTGCGCTGCATCGGGGCATGCAGATAAATTAGTCAGGGTTGGTACTTTGGAGTGAATGTTTTTATTGTTGGAAAAAAGAAGAAAAAAAAAACCCTCCCGAGCCGAGGTGTTGTGCTTGGCGGGGACGCTGTTGACAACTGCTGAAATGGACACAGCCAGTCGCGATCTGAAAAAATGAATCATAGTGGAAAAACTCTGTGCGAGCGCGTGAGATTCGCAAGAGGAGCGAAGGATACAGGCAAAATATTCCAGTCCGACTCACCAGGCAACTATGGGGAACATAAAATGAGTCACACAGTGCGCTGAGCTGGCTTATTTAGACAATGTGTTTGTGTGTAAAACTGGATTGTTCTGGTTGGATTTTGGGAAGAAGGCTCACTCATGTCTGTTTCTGTCTTTCGACCCGAGTCATTTCTGTCCGTAAGTGCCGGCTCAGTTACTGTCAAAAACACACAGGCCGACTTGTTCAACCAAATACAAAACAAAGGATCGAACATTTTAAATGGTTACTACCTAAAAACCTGAAAAACTTTTCTCAGCCTCGAGCTGACGAAGATGTGTGTAAAAAAAAGTCCAAACATGCTAATAATGTATTCTTATTAGTATATTTGGCACATTAATACCTCCAATTTACTTCAAATTTGAATTTTTTATCTGGATGTTTATGGAGTGTTCTTTTTTTCTTTTGGAGTGATATCTTTTTCCTGAAATGAACCTTTCTCTTAGACATTCTCCCCCATCTATCACACGCAATCGCTCGCTCACACAAAGACGAGTCGTTCGCTCCTTCTCGTACGTACTCTAACACCAGGCAAGCCGTAAAAACTCAACTCAATTAAAGTGCCTCTTTCCTGGAAGCCAGCCTCAGACAGAGCACAAGGTATGCAGGGAATGGGAACTGTGCGTGTGTGTGTGTGTGTGTGTGAGAGAGAGAGAGGAGGGGGTGGTGGCGGGGCAAAAAAAAAAAATGAAGAAAAACTCTCCTCCTGCTTAATTTGCCCAACGGCTACCACGGCTGACCAAACCTGCACTCAGGCTGGGGGGCTCATAAATCTCCTCCACGTGGATGCTTTCACCTATCTGACCCGGCGAACCCGCACACATCCATCCATCCACACGTAGGCTCTCCCCCAGAGGACACCATCCTCTCTCAAGCCCCTCAGGCAGGATGTATAAAAACCCCACTGCATTCCTTTCCAGTCAGCCCCGGCCCAGAGCGAGGCCCTGCGCACAGTAACTGCTGTGTCAAAGGTTGTGTGCACACGTGCGATGGGAGTTACCAAACCCCGCCGCTTCTGGGAATCCCTTTGTCTCGGGCCTGACGGGCACCTTAGCTAGCGGTACGGCCGAGCCGGCCCTTTCGCAAACAGCCTCTGATGTGTACGGAGGGCACCCGCGCTGGCCCCGACCAGATCAAATAAGTGACGCTCGTCGGTAATTTTACATGACGAATGAGGGCAAGTCTCGCGCTGCCTCTTGTAACGCAAGCCAGAGCTCTCCGAGCCGGCCAACTAAATAAACCCTGCTTTGTTTAACTAGGAAATCCCATTTGTCAGTAAATAATCTTGTTGTAAAGCCAGGAATTGCTGGAATACAGACTACTTTATGATACATTACAGTAAGTTAGAGCAAATCCGGTCAATATTGACTCAGCGGGAGAAAAAGAGAAGCGGTGGAGGAGGCAGAGAAGCAAACAGTGAAGTAACACACAGGGCAAATGCGTTGGCTTTTGTAAAAATAGTGCTCTTTAATATAAATTATTGAAATATTTTAGAAATATAAATATGTGCAATGCTCCTTTTCATTGATTTTGTAATGTTTTGCCATTTCAGATATTACAGCTTGCTTTTTTTTGCCAGACTAGTGGCCAGCCTTTTGCAAAAGAGTCTTTATAAAAGACAAATGATTCACAAACACATGGTCCACCGCCGCAGCACACGTAAGAAGTCGGTGTTGATGTGAGAGCGGAAGACCCAGATCTGACCCCAAAAAAAAGAGGAAAGGTGTCTCCGGGCTGCGATGTAGGCCTAAAGCAGACACACCGAGGTAATTAGTCCCATCTGGATCCCAGCTGAGCATGACCATGGGACAAACGGGGGAACAAATCAAACCCAAAACTGGACAAATCTGAGTCTTGCTTTTTTTGTTTTTTGTTTTTTTACAAAAGGCCATTTTAAAGAGTGACTTTAGGACAGTCTGGAGGTCCCAGACAAACCCAACTGTTCGCTCCTGTTTCAGAGGTGACGATGGAGGGTCGACAGGGCGAAAGGGAAAAGTTAGAGAAAAAAAAACAGTCCAAATAACAGCTTATTGCCTCCTTCAGAAATGGTGTGAGAAAAACCAGGAGGGAAACAATACAGGCATTCAAACACACAAGGGCATCTCAACAAAAAAAAAATACACGAGTTGGCAACGTTAATCTAAGAAAACCTAAAACAGAGTTAAGACTCAGCCTGCGCTTTCTTTATCGCGCTGGCTGCTATATTTACAGGAACAGCGTCCCGTTAAACTCTATCATCAATTACATCAATGTTTTTGTTAAGCTGTATACCAGTATGTCTCCTCCCCTTCTCTCCTTCCCATCACCAGTTCTCCATCCTCTTCAATTTCCCTTTCCTAATCCCATTTCCCGCTCCTCTTTCTCCCTCAGCTCAAACCCTTTTCCCACCCTCAGCAACCTCTTCCCCACCTCCGAGCTCATCATCTTCAATCCCCAATGAGCTGTCCGGCGTGGGGGAATAGTTTTTTTCTACCCGGTTTGGAGAAAATGAGCCCTGCCGCTGCTCCGTTTGGTCCCACGCTGGAGCTTTTTTTTTTTTCGGCCGCTTTTTTTTTGGCAAACGCGGGCCTCTTTTCTTTCGCCGTCAAAGCCGGCGGGGATAAAAAAAAAAAAAAAAGAAAGAAAAGAGGGCAGGGTATAGAACAGAAGACAAAATGGGACACAAACAGAAGGAGCAAATGCTTTGTGATGGTTTTTGTTTTTTTGTTTTTTTTGTTCCACGCCAACAGAACATTCATGTGGGCCTGTACCTGCATGTGTGTGTGTGAGTGTGTGTGTGTGTGGAGCTAGCGTGCATGACTACCCCACTCCCCTCGATGTGGCAACATTTGCGGGAACAGCTATGGAAATATGTGCACAACCACAACACACGAACACACTCAGACAAACAAATACTGAGTGCTGGGCCCCTCATTTGGACTTTGCCTTTTCTCTGTAACTCCTCCTTCTTTCACTCCCTCCCAGCCTTTCGGCTCTTTGCCGTCAGTCATTTGTGTCCAGCGATCCAAAGTGTAGTAAAGGACACGCTGAAAGAGGAGGTTTGTTCTATTCTTTTTCTTTTTTTTTTGCCTTGAGCACGTTACACCCACAAAGATCCCCGGTGGTGCACTGTTCACGTCTTGGTTGTCATCGTTTGCGTCGACCGGTCAGGTTAATCTTCTACGAGGCATTGCTCTGCGTCTGAGTCAGTCATAGGAAATGTTGGCCTTTGACCTCTGACACTCGTGCTAGTGGTCAGTTTCTTCCAAAGCAGGATGGATGAAGTTATAGCTGATCACCTAAAAGAACATTACACGTTTTAGAAAAATAAAAAAACAAATCACACCTTCTCATCCAAATCTAGGCAGATAGCGTCCAGTCTCTGCAATCAGGTGATTCAGGCCACTTTGGAAAGCCGACTGTATAGATTAGTATCTGAGAATCGGTCTGGTCAGTCCTCTGGTGGCACAGCTGCTCTGGGGCTGAGAACTGCTCCGTGCTGACGTCCAGCTGCCCCCCCCCCCCTGCAGTTCCCGTCAGCTATATGGGAGAATCGTACTCCTCCAGGAATTCTTGAAGTGAGCGGGGGAGATGATTGGGCTCCGCGGTTACCGACAGACCCCAACTGTTCAGCGTCCGCCTGCATATGTGCTGCAGGGACATGAAGGACATCACGCGGGGCCGCAGTAACTCCAGGGGCATTTTCTCTCCGTCCGAGTGGATCCAGTAAGAAGTGTGGCTCTTCATTTTCGCCTCTCCCGAATTCCCCTCGCCTCTGTTCTCCGGCCCTATCCCCATGTAGTGCTCTATGAGGTGGAGCACACAGTCAAAGCGCGGAAGCTCTTGGGTGTTCTGAGGATCCGGTTGCAGGAAAAATCCCCCCCCTTCGTTGTGGATGCGCAGGTTCCTCGTCCCCCGAGCCGTCTGCACCGACAGGGTGAAGAAGTAGTGGTGGTCCGAGGAGTCGCGGACCAGGAAAGTGCCGGGGCTTTCGGAGCGCAGTACCTTGCTGGCCTCCCGGCCCCCAATGGGCCCCCAGTAGAAGCCGCTTTTCTGGAGCTTGTGCAGCGCGCGTATCACCTGAAACGGGTGGAAACACACGGTCATGGTCACATTTATCTGCCAGGCAGAATCTGAGGCTCTGATATGAAAAAATATATATAAAAAAAAGAACAAAAAGACAGGGGCGACTGACCTGCTGGTACTGTTCGTTGGACTGGAAGGTCTTGTAGTGATGCGGGCTAAAGCCTGACCCCTGAACCCGGCCCACCGGAGGGGGCGCGCCGCTCATGGCGGGGGGGTTCAGTCCACCGAAGGCTACCATGGCACCATGGCCCCCTGCCTCTGCCTGCTGGTCGCCAGGCAGGGGGCCGAGAACCGGAGCCTGGGCGCCGACAGGCGGGGAGGCGCCGGACGCAGAGGGGGGAGACTCGGACGGCGGGAGGGGGGGAGGTGTCGGGGTCACACACCGGGTCCAGGGCCCCGGGGCAGAGGAGTCCGATGCATCCAGAGAGGGGCTGGGAGAGAGCACCTAAATTCAGCTGCGTGGAGACACAGACAGGGATGGAGCACAGATTAGCCCTATTCATCTATACATAGAATAACAACATGCAAACATGGGGTCTCACTGGAAACGTACGCTCCAACAACAGAAGCGACATACACAAATGGCCACTTTGCGGGCACGCCGGAGCTCTCAGTTTACTCCCGTAAAATGCAGTTATGGCGACAGTGACGAATGCACGAGGCAGGACTGAGCGTGCAGGTTATATATAGCCTTAACGAACCCTGGGCTGCAGCTGCACCGTGCAGCCAGACGGCAACTGGATCCTGATTGCTTTCAATTGTCTTCGATCGGCGCACCGCAACAAGGGATTTCCGAATCGGGGTCACCGTGAATGGGGTCGAGGAGCACGGTTTTTTTTTTTTTTTCTCCCTCCCTCTCCTCCCTTTGCGGGGAAAAACCCAAAAAAAAGACCCCTCTACCCCGGGGCTGGCCGACCGGTCTCCGGTTTCACCGGGGCCGAGGGGAGGGGGCCCGTCGGCCGGCCCGGGTGGGGGGGGGGGGAGGTGGGGAAGTGGGGGGGGGTGGCTGTCGGCTTCCCGGGACAGAGGGATGAAGGGGGGCGAAGCGGGAGGCGCCATGTCGCCCCGGACTCACTACGGACGGGGAAGTCGAAACACGGTCAAAACGACCCCCACTCCCAAAAAAAATAAATACGGAAAGCTCCTCCGTAAGTGCAGCTCCAAGCGGAGGCTGCCTCCCCGAACCCCCCCCCCCCCACCCCAAGCTTCGGCTCCACGAGCCCTCTCCCAACTTACCTTGCGGATATTTTCAGCCCGGAGCCGCGGCCGCTCGTCACCGAAGGAGTAAATAGGCAAACTACTCGAAAGTAGTGCTAGCTGTATTGTTAACTCAGGCATTAAAATCCAAAAAGGACGAATCCAGAGAGCGTGTGGGTTTGTTTTCGGAGCGGAGGAATGCGGCGGCGCTGCTATCAGCCGGAGAGATCCCGTGTGTGTGCGGCCCCGTGTGTGCGCGGAGGAAGGTTACAGGAGGTTGTTTCTCCAATGAGCTGGATGTTCGTAAGGCCCCGCCCCCAGTCGGAGCTCCTTCCAGTAAACACACGCGCGCGCGGTCGCTCGCGCTCGCGCGCATGCTTGGCAGATGGCCAATAAATAATCAGCGTGACCTTTGCCGGGCTGCTTCCTGGTACTGGTGGGCTCCCTTCTCGACAAGGTGAAAAAGTTAAAAGCTCCATACGCGTTACAATAAAAAGAAGGCAGAAAAGAGCACATTCTGTTAATGTAGCACATGGGATCAGGACATAAGGCTTTTCATCTCTAGAAGTGACTAACAATTATAGGCTGTTTTGACTGGATAATCCCTTTATGGACCTACTATATCTTAATGGTAAAGCAGCACATTTAACAGAGAGAAAACTACACCGACATGAGCTGTTTTCTTTTTGTTTTAATTATGCAATTTACAACTAAGCTTTTTGTCACATGTTTTTTTTTTTATCTCTCTAATCTCTTTCCTGCTGCATTATGTCAATTTATTTTTATAACACTCAATAAACGACTGATCATAAAACTGTATTTATTTAAAAGATTCCAGCATCAAAGACTGTCATTCATTTTCACCACCTGTCTTAACATTCGAGCAGATCAGATTACCACCTGACCTACTAGCCCACAAAGCGAGAAATGTGTGAAGATAAGCTCCTTTAGACCGCCGTCCCCATGTCAGCATCTGAATTACTGTAAATGTTCTTGAGCAACAAGCCCTCATGTCGTTATTGTGCGGAGCCTGACCTGACATCATTTTCTAAAAGGAAAAGTCCTGAATTGTTAAACTAGCAGCATGTTGTTATGCATTAATGATGCTAGTGTTACGTGATCAGCCATTCCGTAGTTTAATTATTACTCCACTTGTGTTAGCAGTTAGCTTTTTTATATAGAGTTGTAGTAGGAAAAATAGATTAAAAAAAATACAAACAAATACACCAACTCAAGTTATTATATAATTTGCTAAAGTAAAACTGGAATGACAACCAGCCCCTAGCGAATATGCTTGTCTGTCAGCAGCATTATGATGTTTTCACTACCTCGCCCGTGCAAAATGCAAACACTTACAGTTTCTCTGATGACTGAGAAAACAACTTGACAGGTCACATGGGTTCGGACAAGTGTTACCTGTAATGTACATGGAGGCTAGCTTAGAAGTCTCATCCATGAACACGTTTCCTCAACAAATGTACAAACACTCCCAAGACCATAAAAACATTGTATGACTGGATACACACACACATGCAATTCTGCTCTGTTTCATGCCTGTGTAATAACAATGTTAAATTGGATTTCTCTTAATTATCTTTTAAGGTTGTTACATATACTATACTATGTGTGCGATCTGTTCTTTGTTAGATGCACTATTTGATCTTAGTTTTCTCAGCTACAATTTCAGGCAAGGGTCTTGGACACCCTTCATTTCTTTATAGACATTCTTAGACAACAGAAAATAGGTGGAGCTTTTGATGGAAATTTGATATTTCGGGACAAGCAGAAAACAACTAATGTTTGGTATGAGAACTTTTATTCTCTATTTTTTGTTTAACCAGACCTATTGTCACAAATTTTCAGTCCACTTATTGTGTCATTTGGCAAAGCTCAGTCTTTTCTTCCCATTTCCCCTGTGAACAGTAGACGGATGGACTGAAAGTCAAACACTTTCTTTCAGGCCATAGTCCTTTTTACACTTTGTCCTTTACATTACCTAACTTTTAGATAATGTATATCTATTGTTGATACTTTCCTCAAGTCTGCTACCCTTTCTTTTGTCCCCTGCGTGTCCAGTTTACTCAGATTACATCAGGGACACACAGCACACTAGTTACGATGTGACAGGATTTCATCTAAAAGCTGTTTAACCTGGGTTTTTTTTGTTATTGTACCAATAAAAAAGAACTATTATATATGTGACATGGAGATGGGCTGCACAAAACAAATAGCCAAAAGATCAAATTTAGAAGGAGTTCTTTGGCAAATTGTCATGCATGTGCAGACTTTGAGTTCTTCGCTTTACTGATTTGTAAGTAGCATAAATTAAGTTAACTAAATCCTGTATGCCACTGAAATTGTCAGCTACTAGGATTGTATTGATAATGACTGAAAAGGCTTTGACAAAACTCTCAGAAAGCCATGATAACTATTGCTCAAGGCCACAAAATGAGATAACAAGAAAGTCTGTCTGGTCTGTGCTGTAAGCAACTTAAAAATGGGGGGAGGCTTCAGACTTTTGGACAGCGTTGTAGGTCTGTTACTGAGCATTTAGCACGAAGCAATGCAGTTTCGTTCAATAGACTCCTCTTAAAATCTAAGTCCTGACTTCAACAACTTAAGTCTTTGGGCTAACCGTCAGCTCCTACACCGACAACACAGGCTTGTTTGTTCACTAAAAGCGGTGTCCATAAAGTTTTTCAAAGACGGTAGCGCAGCAGCAATGGCGGCTCCCATGTCCTGGAGGAGGCTGGTGCATTCCGTGTATTCACCGGCCATCGCCGGGGTTTTTACCCGAATATCTGACCGGTTGTTTCGTGTAAGGGACAGAAGAAGAGGGTAAGAGACACAGTGCCTGAGCTCAGACACAGACACGAAGAGTTAGCAACGTTAATCTGTCTGCACCGTCCCGCCAACTAGCATCCCTTGCTAATTATGTTACTGCTAATGCATCCATTGTCGGACGGGGGTATTTCGATGCGGCAATTTCAAGTGTACGAAATGTTAGGTATTCACGCGCGCTTTACTTGCAGCTTATGACACACTTTTGTCTTAAACAAGAAACTAATCTGTCATGTTTCTTCTCGACAGTGCAAGTCCTCAGACTTGGCAAACGATGGCTAACCTTCAGGCAAAGTTTTGTAACTGAGACAGTACACCATGTTCTCGTTGCGATGCACTGCCTGTCAGTTTACTAAGACTGAAATCTGACACCTCCTATCCAACATACACATGTATATTTTCTCTAGTTAAATCTTACTCAAGAATGCATCAAGTTTGGCTACTCAAATAAGTACGTGAGGTGACACACCTCTGTTTTCCTCGAAACAAGGACATTCTATTTTTGTAGTCACGACAGACAATAACATTGTTTTCCTGCAGACATTTTCCTTTTCCACTGTAGTAATGTCACTGAAACAATTTTAGAAATTTCAACAACTTTAATCCAGTCATTTAATTTCGAGCTTGGAGAATGAGATCTGTCAGTAGACTGAATGAAACTGGTAGATCTTTATTTAGTTTCACCCACCTGTACCACCTGTGAGAACACACAACCACTTAAGTGGACTTAAAGGGCAGGAATTGAACTTCTGTCATCCCTGAGAAGACTTTTGAAAGTCTTAATTTAAACATTACCAAAGAGGCTTTGAAGGCTGCTTTGCACAAGCGCACTTTTTTGCAATCCCCTGAGCTTTATGTACATAAAGCTGACCTGGTCACACCTCTTTAGCAACCAGGTCAAGTTGTTTTACAAGGTTTTGAAGTAAGATGGAGGAATATAACTTTCTCTCTCTTCCTGACTACTTTACCTTGATCAATAAAAGACGGGTACGTTCATACTGACAGGCCAAAGAAAGCAGCAGAAACGCGATAATCCGAGCTCACTTATCATAACTGTTATTCTAACTGTTCCAGGGATGAGCGATAGATATCTCATTAGACATGTCACCCTGTGCTTTTAAAAAAGATACAAAAATAAAAAATCTCCCACAGGCTGTATAAACGGAGATATCCAAGTGAAAATATCTCATAGTGTCCAGGGCCATGCTTTTAAGTTATCAGAGAAGGAAAGAAAATGTCAGATAAATGAGATGTTGCCATCACATTAAAAAAAATATTCTTTTTTCAGTCATCTTCCTGTCGTCACGTATATTCTTATGATTCCATTTATCACCATCGTAAGTTATCCCTTTTTCTTTAGAAATCGTTGGGCTCTATTTCCTTTCATAAAAGATGGAGGTGACAAGGTGACAACACAGAAAGCATCAGAGGTTTCTTTCCTTGGTATGACAGAACTGGGTCATCTTGGCCAAAAACCTGTGACTAGTTGTAACATCACTAAACAGACTTGCATGGTTCAGAATCCCTACACACATCATCTGAGTAACTAGTCAATGACCAAACATCTAACTATAAAATAAAAAAATCTTTGGCTGAAGTGTAAAGTCTTTTTTTTTTTTTAAACACAGAATCCCAGCAAAGCTTCTCTTTTCTGCGTTTGTCCCTGTTTCCTTTGTCAGATCCCTTAAAACACCATCAAATCTAGACAGAAAGACTGCTGTGAATTCACCCATGTACTCACTTGTACGATGATCTCTCAGAGAAAATGAGACGCACCACAACGTCTCTCTTGTGGCTTTTGTCGGTAACACTGACTCAGCGGTGTGTGTGTAGCCAGGTGTTTCCGAGCTCCAGGGGGACTGGAACGCATCAGAGGCTGTTCGTGATTCAGGGGGGGGAAGAAAAAAGAGATAACGTGACACTTTTGTCTCAAGCTAATTTCCTTGACGAAGCGATTATGTCCCGAAAGGAAACAAACTAAAAGTTTGTGCGTTAAGACCGGCAGGAGCCAGAGATAAGAAAATGAGATCTACATATTTTGTAATTTGCTTCCCTATTTCACAGTCTCTCTGTCTTTCAATTTTCCGTCCAGCTTCTTCCAGTTTACAGCTGTTGAAACAGAACAAGAGAAGCCTGCTTGTATAGAAAGTATCAGAATTTGGTTCCGCCTTGTTGGTGTTCAGCACTGAACGGATGGCCCTGCTTTGAGTTGTGAGTTTTATTAGTGTTTCTGGTGCTTGGCCCACTTTTTTATGATGACAGTTTTGGGAAACCGGTGTCTGTCACACTGGTTTGAAACTGAAACGTCAGGTATGCACAAAGTCATGCCCCCAAGGGTTTAAAAAAAAAAAAAATTCCTTGGTAACGTTTTAAGATCTTGTAAGTCAGGGTGGGGCTGAGCTTCAGCTTTTGTTGTGAATTGGTTCAAATCCAAACAGGCAGATGAGAAGTTCGATGGAAGAAGAAAGCTTGTTAAAAGGCTGTTTTGTTACACGCTTGCATGCCTTTGCCATCAGAGGAGTCCCTCCATTTCCACACATGCATTTACCGTCACGATCCGATGTTATCAATGCTGAATGGAGGCTTGAAGCTACAAACGGTTCTTTGTACTATTGAGTTGCAAAGAATGAGGATATGGAGAGTTTTTTTTCTAAGGTTCTTCCCACTAACCCAGTTTTCAGGTGAGCGTGTCGCATCAGTGTGTCGCACGGTCGCATACCAGAGCAAACGTTCCCCATGTGGTGGCTCATCTGGCCAAAGCGCCGCATTGTCCACCAAACCCGTGACGTCTGAAAGAATTCCTCCCTTCTCTTTCCAAACAACCGGATGACTAATCGAATAACTTAATCTAGAGATCAACTAAAGACCATTTTCTGGGAATATTGTCCACATTTCTGTCCATGTGCTCACATGATTCTTATCAGAGGGGTGAAGGCGCTTTGGGGTGGGGTGACATTTGTCATTTTGATCCGTCTCTCTCCGGACCAAAAAGGACGCATTAAGGTGGCGTTTAACTGCGTGGACTTCAGTCCCTCTGACCAACACGGCCCGATGACACACCACCTTTAGAAGAGTGCCCCGCAAAGCCCTTTTCTGTTTTTGTTAGATAATATTTTGCCACTGCGGAAGGCCCCGTGAAGCTGCTCTGGTTCTTGCGGCAGCTTAAGGCCGTCCAGGCTTTTCCAGGCCTTTCCAGGCCTCATAACCCCGTTGTAAAGCTCACGGGTGGCAGCTATCTCTAGTTACATAAGCCCCTCAGTGCACTTTTGTCTTTTGTAATTTGCACTGCTGTAAAAGGCAAGATAATTTACCGTAAGTCAGACGGACACGAGGACGTTATCTTTAACGAAACGTTTCAATGGAGCCGGGCCACGTGTGCGTTTACAACTCGAGCCTTATCAAAGCTAGCAGGGTCGTTAAAAGATGAATGCGTTACCCCAAACGAACAACAACACATGAGTTATTAAATGGCATCATTATGTAATAGAAGTCCAAGTCCAAGGCAGAAAAAAGATCATAAAGAAGATCTTTTTATATTTTTTTATTAGATGCATAAAACTATTAAACTTTTTCATCTGGCCGTACAGTCACTCCAATAAAAATAAACGCTGAATGCCTAAAAATGGAAGGGAGCAGGACTAGCATCTCATTTTCTAATGGTCATAATGGTTGTAGTCATGTGCTGCACGGCTGCTTTCTGGGAGCATGCTCCCTTTGTGTGGGAGGCCCGTGTTCCGGGTCCAGTCGGTCGCGGCACATCGGACAGAAATGATCAGAACTAATGCGGAAAGGCTCATTCGTGCGAGCAGATCGGCCAGACGCTAAAGGTTTCGGGCAGCCTGTCCTGCAGGCCTGACTTCAAAACCGCTCCTCGCTTAACCCAATAAAGCACATCATTGTCGGTAAAACTCAGGGTGACCACAATTTAGATCGAAATCAGACTTGAGGCAATTATTTGACTTAAGGAAATGATTTATAAACGTACCAAAAAAAAATAAGACTGTTGTTTGTGTACTCTGGATATATTTTCCATAAGTGGATGTTGACTGAGCTACGGGGAGGTGACGTCCGGGTGGGATGTTTTACGTGCTGTTGCTCGTCTGACGGTGGGTCTGCCCGGTACACAGGTCCTCCGTGCTGCTCCTGGCCCCGCTGCTGGCCGAAACCGACCGGGCCCCGCGCCACAGCTCCAGGCCCCCCGGCTCGGCCGGAGCTCAGGGCACAGACGGCCTCTGCAGCCGCTTCCGGTGGATGGCGGACCAGGTGCCCGCCTTCCGGGTCCCAGGCAACCACGTCCACATTCTGAGCTCACCGGACCAATTCTACCAGGTCATGAAGGTCGGTGTTTTTTTGGCGTCCACCGGGTCTTCAATAGTCTATGTCATTCAGATTGTGACAGATTTAATTTCAAACGGTGGCCAATGGTTAAAGAGGGTTGATGAATACGGCTCAAGTAACAGGCTCTTAGTAACAGGCTCTTAGCCTTTTTAAAACTTTTTTTTCTGGCGTTGGTGTTGGCTGGAGTTCATCAACTGCATTACATAGAATTTAGAAACTTAAAATGATTTTTTTAATTAAGGAGTTTTCTAATATTACCTATATTGCCCCTATAAATAAAGCCCAAAAAAAGCTTTTCCCTGTCACTTCTAAAGCTGATGCGAAAGCGATCACAATCACTTAATCAAATTTTTTTTAGTTGATTTAATGTTAATTTTTCAAAGGTATGAGTAAGATCCCGCGTCTTTTATTTTAGGTTCTGGTTTCTTTTAGCTGCAGCCTGGGCCTTTCTGCTGTCCAGCTGTCCACAGGTTAACTTGACCAGTGGGTCATACCGTTCTGAACTGGAACTTCACCACTGAAAACAGCAGCCTGTCACAGCCGAAAGTGGAAATTATGATGAATTTTTACTTCTTTTTTTTAGATGAGATTGACCTTTTCAAAAACAAGTATTGTGGCCCCATTGCTACACTTGTTTCTCTTTCTCTTTCTGTCCCTGGGCAGCTGTGTGCCCGTAACTGTCTGGAAAATATCCATTTGTTACCAGACTCCCAACACCCACAAGCTCTAGGATTTCACTCACCTTTGTGATTCTTTGTTTTCCTGTTTCCGTTCCTGTCAGGCGCGTATCAGGACGGCGCAGAAGCGAGTGGTGATGGCCTCGTTGTACCTGGGAACGGGTCAGCTGGAGCAGGAGCTGGTGAGAAAAAAAAACAAAAAAACCCGGTGTTCCTTACAGCTTCTGGGAACGAGCCTCGCTCAGTTTAGCACGTGGCAGGTGAGAACAATGCCATGGCAGCACGGGCAGCGTGCCAGATAACTGGTCAGACATGCCAGAAAATGTGAGTCAGGAGTCTCTTCCAAAAGGCGACCGCAAGCGCGGTCTGTTGAGAATGAGAATGGACTTCCAGCCAGACTACAAGGAATGACCCCGAAATGCGAGGGTTTATTGGTATAAAGAGACCAGCGCTGGCGTGTGGTGGCCCGCCGCTCCTCATGCCTGGAAAGCCTCGCGAAACAACACAAAAACCCGGGCAAACCACAGTCTGGACAGATGCTCTTATACAGCTGTTTTTCATGTTTATTTGTTTTTTAAAGAAAAAAAATAGTTGCAGCGAACTGGACCGAGCCGCAGCGGCAGAGAAGGTGCAACGCAGAAAGAGGCGCACGCGCTTAATTACAGTTTAAGAACCGGAATCGGCCACTTGAACTCTCTGACCTCGCCGGACGGCGGCTTACTAGAAACGTGAGTCAGCGAGGTGCAGCGAGGCCTCGCGCGCCCGGCGTGCGGGCGGCAAAGAAACGGACAGAACGAGCTAAACCCGATCCGGCGCGAAAAAAGTCTGAGCGTGGTCTGCGGCCGCGACTCGAGAAATGTAAACAGCAGGTGCGATTTCAGAGCAAAACCAGGACACATTTCCACACAGTTCGAACCCCCCGGCCGGCCGGGCGGCTGCTGCTCATAGTCAGGCCAGAAGAATGTGTTTGCTCAAAAGGCAGCGCGAGCATTGGGCAAAAATCTGAAGGCTGAAAGCGAGCGTTATTTGTCCTCAGCAAACTACATGTGAAGGTTATTTAAGCTTTCACTGGTCTCCAGATGGCTTTGCTGCGCAAGGAAATCGGTAATTAGGCGGCACGAATGGAAGGAAGGAGTGGAAATTGCAGGTTTCCAGCTTGTGTCTGCACATTGTAAAATATCAGTCTGATTGCAAGATGTTTGTCTGCAAAACATTAATCCTCCACATAAACCGAGGGGCGGCTGGGCCAGGACTAATTCTCCCCTTTGCATTCTAAAGTAAAGCTGTCCAGATGAGCACAAATATTTAATGGCTTCCTCTTTACCCAAAGTCCGCCCCTCGTAGGTTAAGAAATAGAAGACTGCTTTCTGTCAAATAAAGGGAAAAAATCATTTACTTATATCTCATCAGAGGGGCCATCTGCAAACTCCATTCCGTCCCGTTGCTTTTATTTCACAGACGCTTTTGTCCAAAGGCAACTTATCATTAAAAATTAAACTGGACCCCCGGGGATCAAACTCCCTCTCAAGCAGCAGATGTCCACCGTTTCTATGTGTAAACACGAGTAAATAAGTAACAGTATCCAAATGGACAAACTATAAACGCATCATGGATATTTTCTGACTTGAATACTTTTTTTTTTTTTTTATCGTGAAATTCTAAAAGGCAAAAGCAGTCCCTGGAGGGAGAGGAGGAGGCTTTTTCAGTCAAAATGCCACCCAGAAACTTGCGTTTTAGCCTGTTAGACTCAAACTTTACTTGAAAAGGTAAAGTAAATGTTTTTGATTAGCAACAGGGTCTGGTTAGAGCCTGCCAGCTGGTCTTCTCTCTGGAGCCCTTCGCCAGCAGGTGGACTTTGTGAAACACCATTTAAGAAAAGACACGCTCAGTTAAGATCCAATCACAGAGGAGATCACGTCCTCTCGCTTTCCTAGACGCAAAGAGCTGGAGAAGTTTAGTTTTGATTGGACGATAAACGGGGCCGGTTAATTCGCACCGCTCACCTCGGGCCGGACGCCACGGCCCACGCCGCCCAGCGGGGCTCATCACAGGCACCGGTTTCCACATGTGAGCTGCCCCTGGTTCCCTAATTGGAGCAGAGGGCACTCTGCAGTGAGTCAGGCTTTTCCCACGCTCAGTAAACACTCAGTAAAAAACCCTTTGCACTTCATGTGCTGTCAATCAATCTACAAAGAAGTAATAAATAATCTATAATCGTTAGTCACTCAGTTTTCTCTCTGTGGATTGTTCCTGGCAGAAGGCAGAGTGAGTTTACTGGTAGAATTTAAGTTGGACACGTGCACAAAGGCCTTTAATTATTATACAAGCAATATTAGAGTAATTGCCTGGATGGTAAAAGCTTTGTTTACACTATAGATGCGGGACCGGGCGGGGCAAATGTACAAAACTCATCGTGTGGTTTGTGAAATATCCAGTTCTGGTCCACGTGGAGCGTTTTGGCCTTTGAGGGTTTCCTGCTCAAGTCCGCAGCAGCCGTGCACAGATTGTCCATCAATCATTTGATTTTTAATGGACAAAATAGGAGGACCTTTTTGCCTAAAATCATATTTCAGTCGCTCAAAGGGCCTGTTTTTCTCCATTAGCTCAAACAGCCCTTAGATGCATTTTTCTTTTCTCCAACAGCTGAGACAGTAAGGCAACTCAGATAACGACCACAAAAAGGGATAAAACATCAAATCCGTGGTTTGGAATTAAAAACGGCTGATCCAAGACATTTTTTTCTCTTTTATTTTCACTAGTTTAAAGAAATGGCTGTAAAAGTAAAAGAAAAGTGCTCTTTTAGGATAGAGAGCTGATACACCTACATTTAATTAGACTTTTAGTTCTTTCCAGACACAACGATCAGAACATATTCCTGTTTTTATTTTTCCTGAGCAGCATTTGCTTTCATTCGCGTGGGCCTAAAAGCTCCCGGATGCAGAAGAGTTTTCCGAACACAGCTAACTCGCCCGGCGGTTTTCAGAGCGAGTTACAGGATAAGGTCTGTCAGCTCCCGGGGGGGGCAGCTCTGTCGCCGAGGCCGCTGAGTCACTTGTGGCTTGTTTGCGTGTTTCCTTCAAAGCAAGAATTTGCCTCGGGACAAAGACCAGCGCATGCGATAGGCGTCGGCACGTCTTTGTGAGTCACAATACGAGTTTGAAACGCACAAGTCTGTCGGGGGAAAAATGTAAAGATGAGTCTGCCCATCAGACCTACATACACAGCTGCTCACTGGAGCTCCAGGCTTTGTTACAACACATCCAAACTGAGTGAGTCTTCTGGAGATGATTGACATCATGGCTGACGAACCTGGTTGTGATGCTTTTTTTTTTCTTTTTTTTTTCTTACATATGCGTGATGAATCCATCTGTGTTGCATAAATTTAATGTTGAATTGATGCAGTCGTCTTTCATCATATTTGCGATCATCTTACTCATCCAGGGCTCACCCTCTTGCAAAGGCTCATGTCACAACTCGGTCACTCCGGTCAGCAATGGATTGTGGTCCAGCAGTGCCTACTCCACGCTTAAGACAATCCAGACAGTTTTCATGTGTTGTTCCAAGATGGTGGAACGAGAGAGTCTTACCCATACCTCTATACCCCCTCTATTACTCTTTCTGTACTTCCTTCTCTCTCTCTTGCTGTCACCACTGATTCTGACTACGAGTTTTCCTCTAGAGGACTTATTGTCATACAAATGTAAAATTGTGTCTACTTTGTAAGTCGTTTTGGAAAAAAGCGTCTGCTAAATGCATAAACAACATAAACATACCCAAACCTCTTCACCCCTTCTACTGGTCTGTCTCTCTCTCTTTGCTGTCACCACTGATTCTGACTAGGGATTTTCCTCTGGAGAACTTATTGTCAGATTGATGATAACTGTAACATTGTGTCTACTTTTGTTAAGTCGTATTGGATAAAAGCGTCTGCTAAATGAATAAACATGAACATGTTTGCTCTCCTTAAGGTGGACTGCATGGAGGAAGCCCTGCTGCGTTCTAAGGAGAGCGGCTGCTCCCCCGACCTGAAAGTCTCCGTCTTGCTGGACTACACGCGGGGCTCACGAGGTTGTCGGCGCCCTCCTGTTGACCTCACAGCCGCCCGCTGGCTGCGCGTTGCCCATTCTCAACCCCCCGCCCCCCATATCTGTGTGTTTGTGTGGACGTGTAGGGCGGGTCAACTCCAGGACCATGCTGCTGCCCCTGCTGCGGCGCTTCACCTCCCAGATGAGGGTGTCGCTGTACCACACGCCGGACCTGCGGGGGCTGCTGCGGCTGCTGGTCCCGCAGCGCTTCAACGAGACCATCGGCGTGCAGCACATCAAGGTCTACCTGTTCGACGACAGCATCATCATCAGCGGGTGCGCTCCGGTCCCGGTTCCTGCTCCGTTTTTATTGGGAAAAACACGTGCAATGTCCAATATTATACAAAATATACAATGATAATACATACAATAATTCCAGTCACAGAAATACAGTTGACCTTTTCCTTTTTTTTTTACAATTTTTTTAAACATATATTTATATGTACACAGCCCCATATAGAAACATTAACCAAAAGAGAGAGAGAAGAAGAAACACAGAAAAAAAAAACCCAAAAGAAAATCCCAAAACACTCTGAAATGAATGTAGGAAAATTAAAATTGATTGAAATGACAGAGTAGCGTGTAAAGAACAGTAAACAACCTCCCAACCACACCCAGCTCCATTTCGCGTTTAAGAAAGATAAGTGAACTAATGTGCGGAGAAGAACCACGGTGAGATTTGTTTTCTCGGCAAAACCGGACCGAGAGGAGGGGTGGAGGGACATGGGAGGCTTGTAATTATGTCTTTCTGAGCACCTTATCTGTGGAGGGTGATTTAAGCCCCGCTCTTTGAAACGGCCCTTCTTTTACCCTCGGCTACCTTATTTTTGATCTGTGGTGCGTGATCAGAAATATCTCCAGCAGAGGAAACTCATGTTTGACGTGCGGAGAAGAAGGAGGGCATCGGGTGTGCTCCTGTGCCAAATTTCTCAGGCTTAGTTTTCCCACCATTGTCCTCCTTGGCAGGGAATCATGTTTAACTGGGTTAGTAAAATGGGCCTATTGACTATAAATGATGCATCTGTGTCAAGATGACAGTTTCTGGTATGTCAACATTAAAGTTGGACGAACAGGTTTAACAAAAACGGGGAAAAAAACACACACAAAAAAACATCAGTACTTCCTTTCGAGCATCGTTGAAACAGGCATTCCTCTTTAATTACGTCGACCCGAAAAAAAACCCGTGAACGCTCTTGTTCCGAGCGGCATTTTCACCTCAACCACCTTTATTTTTTTTTTTCCCCTTCCCAGGGCCAACCTGAGCGACTCGTACTTCACCAACAGACAGGACCGCTACGTGCTGCTGGAGAACTGCGGGGAGGTGGCCGACTTCTTCTCCGACCTGGTGGAGGCCGTGGGGGACGTCTCCATGCAGCTCCAGCCCGACGACTCGGTCGCCATGCTGGAGGGCATGGTGCACCCCTACAAAGGTAGGAACCGGAAGCCTCTCCGGCTCGCCGGATGTGGAATTATCAGGATTTTGTGTGTGTGTGTGTGTGTGTGTGTGTGTGTTTTTGCGTGCACACACGCGCAGACTTCTGCAACCTGCAACCGAAGCACAGCACGTCATCGTCCTAGTTTTGGAGCCGAATGACCTCATGTCTGCCCGGCTGTGAAACCAACACCAGGAGTGGAGATGTGTTGTCACAGTGTTGCTGGGAGGAGATACATAGTGGGAACCGATACACACACTCACACACACACACGCACGGTTACTGGGAATACAAAAAGTGGAGCCGCGGAAAATCCTGCTGACAGTATAACTATGGAAAATTTGGAACTGATTCAGGGCCGTCAAACTCCAGTCCTCGTGGGCCGCCGTCCTGCAGGTTTTAGAGTTTCCTGCTTCTGCACACCAGATTCTGGACACTATAGAGCTTTGCACCGGTCTGCTAAATGCTCTTTAATGTGAATCAGGCATGTTGAAACAGGGTAACCTCTAAAACCTGCAGGACGGCGGCCCTCGAGGACTGGAGTCTGACACCCCCGAATGAGATGAAAAGGGCGCTTCTGGTAAATGACAGAACCCATTTCAGCATTCACCAATGGGAGCTTCTAACCAAGTATTCTGGTAATCTTCCTTCTGACATTCAATCTGCTTAGATCGCCTTAAAAAACTGACTTAATAATCACTTATGGTCAGTGATTGTGTTCACGCCAGCTCTTTTTTTTCAACGGGCTGATATAAAACAAAGTCAGGCTGACAAACATGCGAAAGTGTCGATTACAAATCTGTTCAGGATGATTGCGGGTCTGTTTTCCACCTTCTCCAGCTCTAAAGCTCAGCGTGACGGATGCTTTCCATGCCTCATGCATCGTTTCTCCCATCGGTCACTGTAATTCTCGCTCGCTTTCCAGGGTCCTGGAGGCTCCTGGTGCAGCTGAAGTAAGCCTTTGTAAAGTTCCATGGCAACAGCTGTCTGTTAGCGTCTGAAAATGTTCAGACTGACTCTGGCCAATCAGAAGCCGCCGTTTTCAGCTCTGTATCACGTTTAACAACCCTAGACACTACCGGACATCTGAGTTGTTTCCGCCACCTCCTAGAACGCTACCCTGACGTGTTTTGGTTTGCAGTGGAGCCAGAACTTCTCCTTAAATAGCCCCAACCCTCACCTAAAGCTTCCCCGTAAAGCCTCCATCCTCAAAACCGAGCGATTTCTGTTGCAAACGGGAGTCCAGGCTTCACGCCGTGACGCCTAAAGCTCAGAGCGCGGTGACCTGGGGGAATGTGGGGACCCGGGGGAGCGCTCTGACCCGTGCCCTCTCTCTCCCTCCCGCTCGCTCCGACAGGCAACCGGCAGGACTTCTCGGCGGCGGCGAGGAGGCGCATCATGGAGGTGGTGGACACGGCCCAGGTGAGGCAGCGGCTGCAGCGCCGGCCGGAGGACTCTGAGGACGAGGGGCCGAGCGACGGGGAGGAGGACACCTGGGTGTTCCCCCTGGTGCAGATGAAGCCTCTGGGCATCCAGGTGGACGAGCAGGTCACCCAGGTGAGCCCCCTCCCCCATGTTTTCCACCACATTTCCATCCACATTTTTAAGATTTTTTATTTTCCCGCCGTCTCCAGCGGCTGCTGACGGACGCCGGGCCGGACTCCACCGTCTACCTGACCTCGGGCTACTTCAACCTGACCCGAGCTTACATGCGGCTGGTGCTCGGGGCCGGCGCCAGCTACCGGATCCTCACCGCCTCCCCCGAGGTCAACGGCTTCTTCGGGGCCAAGGGCGTGGCCGGGGCCATCCCCGCGGCCTACATCCACATCGCCAGGCAGTTCTACAACCAAGTGTGCCAGCTGGGCCAGCAGAGGAGGGTCCACCTGCACGAGTACCACCGGCCGCAGTGGACCTTCCACGCCAAAGGTCAAACGCTAGTCTCCTCTTTTGTTTTTTCTGATTTTTCAGAACCGTCTTTATGTCCAAGAATTTAGACAAACACACAAAGGTGTGCACAGGCGTGTCGGCGTGTTTTTTTTTCCAGTTCTCGTGATATATTGGTGGAGAAGATCTGTGGGAATGCAGTACAACCCCTACTCTAGGATTGCCTAAACGTACAAATTTCCCAACATCCGAAGTGAAATTCAATCAAATATTCGACCTGACACCTCGATACATATGACGTCAAAGTCATAGGAAAAAAATTTCAATAAAAATAATTAAGCTAAGTTAGTTTAAAGTTCACGTAGTGCAAGTTTGAGTAAGTTACGTTACGTATTGTATCTCAGTCACTAAGGTGAAGTGCCATTAAAACCCCCTTTTTTTCAGTTATTTCTTCATCATTTATTTATTTTTACATCTCATATAATGCATTTGTTTTATTGCTATGTGTAATTATCTGCAGTATTTATTATTGTAGGTTTTTGGGCTGTGGGACGAATTACCGGTATATGAATTACAGTGTATTACAGTGTATTCTTATGGGAATATTTGAACCAATATACGAATATTCTAAACTAGGTCCCGGAACGAATTAAATCTGTATGTAGAGGTTCTACTGTATTTGGAATGGCAGATATGTCGGTTAACAAGCTGAAGTTGATCCAACACAGAACCTTAAAAAATTAAGAAAGTAATATTTTCTGTTCTATTCTAAATGCAGATGAGCCTAGTTTAACTGAAGCAAACACATGGTGCCCCAGACGTGGCCTTTATTTGAGACCGTCATCTGCCTCCCGGGACGGTAGTTTCCCTCATTCTTTGCAGGAGTTTTATTTTCCTTGTAACCTCTCTTTGATCTCAGCAGCCCTTATTCAAGAGAACACTCCGCCCCCTAACCCTGAGCAGTCACTTAAACCTGAGCAGACTCCTCTCGTCTTTGTTTTCTTTTGAAAGGCAGAGACCACACCAGAGCAAACGCTCGTGTTTGAGGCCGATTGCTGAGTCAGGTCTCGGTGCTTTAAAACTTTTTCTTCTCTCCTCTTTGTTTGCACGGTTTATGAGTCGGGCGAGCACCTGCCGGGTGTCTCTCACAGTGCAGAAACACCTTCCTCCAAATGTTTGATCTACTTTCTTATTTTCTTCGTTTGAGGCAGTCGAATTAAGTCAAATCTTTTTCTTCCAAGTTTAGCTTTTAGGAGCATTTCTGCTCCTTCTCCCTCACATTTAAAATGATTTTTTTGAATACTCTTTTAATTGAAAGGCTGTTTTTATTTTTAAACAATTTCTCATAAAATGAGAAAAGACACGCTGTCTGTCCCTATGCAAAGAGGCCGTAAAGAATTAAAACTGCTGCTCTGCTCTTCTTGTGGTGCGTCGCGTGAGAAACGAAGGCCTGCGCAGCGGCTGGCTTTCGGCCTCGGGACGAGGATGCGCGTTGGCTCCCCTCATATTTTTGGGTTCTGGATCCAGGCCGGGGATTTCTGGCCTGGGCTTCCTTTTAGTTGTGGTCTGGGCCGAGCGGAGCTCTCTGCCGGCAGCGTTTCCTCCCCGGTGACCGGGCTTCTTTTTTTTTTTTTTTTCCTTCTCCCCTGCAGGTCTGTGGTATTACCTCCGGGGGCAGGACCGGCCCTGCCTCACTCTGGTGGGCTCCCCCAACTTCGGCTACCGCTCGGTCCATCGCGACTTGGAGGCCCAGATCGCCATAGTGACGGAGAACGAGGAGCTGCAGAGCCAGCTGCAGGAGGTGGGCCTCGGACCGCCGGCGCCTCGGACCTGTAACCCAGCTGTAACCCACCTGTAATCCACCTGTAACCCGCCTGTAACCGGCCTGTGTTTGGACCCCCCGCAGGAGCAGGAGATGCTGTACCGGCGCTCCACAGAGGTGTCCAGCACCACCTTCCAGCGGCCAGACCGCCACGTCAAGCTGTGGGTGAAACTGGTCACCCCGCTCATCAAGAATTTCTTCTGAGACCCAAACAGGTGCGAAAGTGTACACGGGCGCAAAACTCGACACTCGTGAGCGTGTGAAAGTCCGAAGCCGGCTCGGATTTCCACCTATGTTGACATAGACGGAAATACGATGCAGGCAGATGAACACAATACGAACTACCGTAGAGGCAAAAAGCTAAAGTCGTCCTATCTTTAAAGAAGCCTTTAGGATTAGCTCTCCAGGCTTTTTGAAGGACGTCCCAAAGCTCTTCTTTGGATGTCAGTCCCGTTCTCATTCAGATGATCGCGCGCTGCTTTAATAATGATCAGGTCCAGTCTCTGAGGAGGATTCATCCCTCCTACAGACCACTTCTCGTGTCCCGTGCCACAGCTCAGGCTTTTCTGACCCGATTTCTTTCCTTAAGAACGGCTTCTTGACAGCCACTCTAAACGGAAACCAGTTCTGACGAGAGCATGGATGCATCCCTCTGTCAGGACCAGCATTAGCATCCAAATTCAGCCCCAAACAGCACACTCCATCTACAGTTTTGGGCTTCTTCAGAAGCTGGCAAAAAAACAACCACAGCAAATACATCAAGAGAAGGAAGAGGGTAATGTTACAATGACTGTGTGTTTTCAGAAACTATAACCAACGTGTCGAACAGGCTCGCACAAAGAGAAAACTATTTATTTAGAATACAAACAATTAGTTATTCTGGTAAAGGTATGTCCTGTTATCTTGTTCCGGGTGCGTAAAGTGGCCGAGCAGGAAGATTGTGTCTGTCCTGACTGGGGTTGTTTTTGATGTCACGCAAACACATCTGTCCTGTATTCTGTTCCGCGAGTAAACAACATTTTGTTCAACTAATTTGCAGCAAATATCTCAATTTTATTTTTGCGTCAATGTATTGAAAAGATAGCTGGGAACCCTCCAAAGCCTCTGTTATGTCACAAATTCAAAGGCGAGTTCAGGACTCAGAAGCTGAATTTGCTCACACAGCCTCACATTCGTTGTTTACTCAGGTTTTGAAAGTTTTGCTTTCATAGACAAAATTCAGACCTCAACATATTGTGCAGCATCACTCACTCACACACACACACACACACACACACACACACACACACACACACACACACACACACACTCTCACACACACACACACACACACACACGCAGTAAAACAGGCTGTGGCTTCTTCGAAATGGTTGCAGTCATTGTGGCGAGTCCCAGATCGCCGTCCTGGCCTTCCCAGCAGCCCGGCTCACCACAGCGAGAACAGCCCCCCCCCACCCGATTCACCGCCGGCGAGAAGTGAGTCAGCGCCGCGCTCCGACAGCCGCTCCACACCGTGGCCTGCGCTCTTTTTTGTTTTTTTGGGAGAGGTTAAGTCAGAGGCTTCCAGTTCACGCCGAGGAGAGATATTGTGAAACGAAGAGATGATCAGATAGAAGGCGAGCGAAGGCGCGTGGCGAAAAGGCACGTTTATCTCATTTTGTGGCCAAAAAGAAGAGAGAAAGGTTTTGAGCCTCTGAGAACAGGAAGCGTCACAGGCTGCCGGTAAAGGGCGTGTGTCTAATCACCACCTGAACATAGCCTGGAGGGAGAAAAAAAAACTGTTACTGATCCGCTGCCAGACGAAACTATTTAAAAATAGCTCGTCTGTCAGCCCCGAGGCACCGTACACAAACCCCCATGTAGTAAAGCTCTCACCTCCTGACAGATTCCCTTCAACTGTTGTTGGTAGAAAGGAGAAAGTCCTCACGTTAGACGATTGTTTAACAATGTTTGACGCACTCATGTCGGACTTACCACCAGACTCCCAGTGCCAGCTTTCAGAATGCGTTTGTTGGCTGTGAAAGCTCCTCTGAGGGAACTCTGGAGACAAAGATTCAGACCTGACATGTTTTAGTGGCTCAGGTGAAAGTTTCAGATCGGTCAACTGTCACCTGCTGCTTTTCCACTCAGCACAGTTTAAAAAAAGCAGAAGCTCTGACTGACATCAACACACTTCTCATTCTGGCGCCGATTTTAAAAGTCAGAATGAGCAAAGTGCTACGTTTTCCTTTGGTTGTAGGTTCTGTCAGCTTTAAAACGCTAATTAATGAACAGAACTACATCAGGAAGTTGAGTAAAAGTGCCAGCTGTATGGGCTCATTGTTATCTGGTGGGCTGAGATGAAATATTAATGGAAAACAAAAGCGAGCTGGACAACAAAACAACCATACAGATGAAACGGCCTCTTTTCTTTCTTTTTTTTATCCTGATGAGTCACGCTTATTCGGACAAACCACATTAGAACCCTTTATTCCTCCGGGGCTGTCGTAAAACACTCACGACGCTCCATCCGGCATTGTATCTGCTTTATTTTTAGATGCATATTTTCCTGTTAGGGGAATAAAAAAAAACGTGACTCTCGAACAATAGCCGTGACTGTTATCAGGCCGATAAGATCTTACCGGCAGCTGAGTCCTTCTATTGTCGGACACTCGTGACAACGGCTTGGAGTTCCTCCAGAATCCTCGGCGGTAAAACCAGCTGAACTCCAGTGACTTGAGGGATGCTCCGGCTTGTGAGGGACGCGCGCGCCCTCTAGTGGCCCCCTTCCCCAACATAAAAACCTCAAATTTGAAACTTTAACCCCCCACCTCTTTCCCCAGTAAGTTGTTATTGAACCCAACTGAGAAAGTTGATCGGCATCTTTTTAGGATGAATGTGCTGGAACTGAACTCTGAACATTTTCCTTTTCCTTTTTTTTCCCCCCTTCATTCCAGGTGGGTTGGAGAGACACTTTGATGGGCGTTCTGAGAGACCACGGCACCTTTCGAAAGTGCGTGGCAGAAAACAGACAAATGGGTGGACAACACAGCATGTAAACCTCCAGAACTGACCACCCGGTTTACGGCTTCCACCCACTCTACGTAACTTATGCATTAACAGACGTCACCACACTGTGGATCACCGGTTCTGTGCTGGCACTTGCCTCAAACATTTAAAAAAAAAAAACTTACCCCAAAGTTTTTTGCATGCCCCAACCCCGGGGGGGTTGGGGGGGGGTGGATGCGCCCTCTGTAATGAGGAGCTGTGACGGTAAGCGGACGGGCGTGGTGGAGCGCCGCGGTCCCCAGAGGAGCCGTAATAGCAGCGGCGTGTTTACAGCTCTGCCCTCTCACACGTGTGCAGCCGTGTCTTCTCATGTTTGTAAATTAAAGGAAAAAAGGCGACAGGTTTTGGAAGCAGCCGTCTGTCCTCTGTGTCACACGCACGTCACCTTGTTTTAAAAGGAGAGTGGGGGTCACCATGCGGCCGTTTTGAGGCGATAACTGGCATTTGTTGGTTATTTCAACACATTCAAACTAAAGTCAGCCGGGTCATCCAGAAAATGGTGATTGTCTCCTGTCTGTAGGTCTGTCTGTTTGTTTGTTAGTTTGTTTGTTCCGGTGTTCGGCCGACAGCAGCAGTGGGCGTTGGGAATCTTAAAAGCTCAGTTTCTCATCAGAATTATTACCATCGACGTTTCCAATCATGCCAGCGGTTCTGCAAACCTTTTTGGTTATGAAAGGACAGATGCCATCAGCTTCATTTCCAGGCTGAACATTTCTGTGTCTCTTGAAACGTTTGACTCCAATTTTTAAAGAAACAGAGGGGGCTGATGCACATTTCTGATCAATCTCTGGCCCTTTGAGAACTTTAATCTCATCAGGGTTGCCGTGATATTCCAGGGATCGTTGAATTATTTTCCTCAACACTTAAACACAGATTGCTGCATTTAAGGACTGACCCTGGGCCGGGTTTATCTCTCTGCTTCACGGCGCCGGCGTGCAGACGCTCGGGTTGCTGATCAGAATCAAAGCACAAGCCTGCCCACCGCATCCGTGTTTGTTTAGGCCCCCGCGTCTCCTCTGGACGGGGGGGAACTCCCCGCTTCCCTCGTCTTGTTGACAGATTTTTAAACGGTGGCTTCAACCACCATCAGATAAGCCACGGCAGGAAGAGGCGGCCTGGGGAGGCAGACATCCAGTTTATGTAAGATAACAGCTAGATAAGGACAAGACGAGCACTTACCTGACAGATTTGGACGCATTCGTGTCAAAGTCCTTGTTTCTGTTATTCATACGCAACTTGGTTCTGTTAAACAAGCGATAAAAGCAGAGGCCCAGAATTCGGTTCGCAAACGTTTTAATCAGACAAACAATAAATTACAAGAAATATGGATAAATAAATACGCAGCCGTTTGCGTTTACTCAAACGGTGCCACAACAGCAGTGAGAAAATAGGCTTTTGTAAAGCGTCTGTGTGTCTGAAGAGGGAGCAAAGCGTCTCTGGTGGCCCATCGTCACCCCGTCGGATGTTGGACTGTGTGAGTTTGATTTCTCGGGTCAAAGGTTCCAGTTCTTTGAACGTTTCGGAGCACTTTAATGTGAATTGCGCCGTAAAATCTAGAACACTGATTTTTCTTTCCCCCATTGTTTGAAGCTTGTTGGGGCTTTTTTTTTTTTTTTTTCCCCTGTGTGAGAAATGGAGATACTCCATGCGTGGAAAAAGTCAGTTCTGCAGATTTCAGCAACAGCAGAAGCAAACTGAGCTCACCGCCGGCTTCCTCTGCCTAAATCCGAAGTCAAACCACTGCAGACGGGCCGTCGTTCGTAGAATAACAAAAAAAAGGAGCCTTTTGGTGAGCTGGAGTCTGGTTCTGGGTCCGGGTCGGGGTCCGGGTCCTGCAGCTGGCCTGCGCTGCCTGAACCGTCTACAGCCCCTTCAGAGTGGAGACCTTCTTCTTCCGAGCGGCCAGCATTTCGTAGAAGGGGTCTTTGCTGATGGCGGCCCTGCGGGCGGAGGCGGGGAAAGCGCGGTTAGCCGCCGTCTCTCCGGCCGTTTGCGGCGGCGGGGGGAAGAGCGAGCGACTCACTTGATGCTGTTGATCCACTCGTCCTTCTCCTCGGCGGTGGGAGCGGAGATCCGGTAGAAGGTGTGGTTTCCCTCCACCACGCGGCCGTCCGCCTCCGTCTTACAGGCCTTGATCACCTGGTCTTTGTGGTTGGGAATAAAGAGCTCGAAGCAGTTCTGGGAGAGATCGAGAGAAGAGAGAAGGGCGGGAATTTTCAACAAAAACAGGGCGGGCTAGTTATTTACCAGCCATAAAATCAGGTCGTTTTTTTTTTTTTAAAAGTACTTTTCTGCATGTTTTAGAGATGCACAAGAATAAAAACAACAACTGGCTCTCGGTATGCAATCTGTCAAGATACAAGTTACTGTTTAAAAATATGTATTTCTTACTGCTGTTATGTAGCTAAAGTTCAGGAAAAATAAAAAAAACTTCTGTCAATTCATGTGATCCCCATAGTGTTCATCAACATTTTTCTACTGCAAAAGAAAAAAAAGGATAATAAAAAAATGTTTACCGGTTTCTTTGAGTCCTCAACTTCCCTGATACTCAGATTCTCCAGTGGAATTATCCCTCTGGGTTCCTTGTCCTAGTAAATAGGTGGAACAAATGACAGCGTGCGCATCCAGTCAGCCTTCAGTCAGCCTTCAGTCAGCACTTTACACAACTCTGACGCAGAAAAAACCGTGAAGAACTTACAGTGGTGTATTCAAAGTAGTACAAACAGTTATCGGTGAGGATGAACCAGCGTCTCTTCCAGGTCTTCACTCGTCCACCTGAGGGCAGATCACAGGTGAGCTGTGGCCTGACGCACACTAAACGGCGCGGAGCAGCAGCTTGACTTAAGCCCGGCGACTGCGGAAGCCCCCGGTTAAAGCTGTGGCCAGCGGCGGGAAGCAGACGTGAGACAGCCACACCAGGACACGGCCGGGGGTTAACAACGAATCACCCAAACCCATTCTGTCTGCATTCCTGATGCAAGCAAAGGTGAGCGCACGCTGCCGGTGGGAGGCCAGAGGTGTGGGGGAAGGGGAAGGGGTGTGGGGTTTGGGATGGGGCGGGGCAGCTTGGCAAAGCAAAGCACTGAAGCTGGGCAGTTTAAACTGTACATACCTCCTGGAGTCAAAACCATGAAACACAGACAAAGAAAATGTCAACGAGAGTGTCATCGTAATAAAAAAAACAAAAAACAAATAGCATTTGGTTCAACTTGATTTGGTTTGATCATTTTGTGGCGCCGCTGGGAGCTCACATACCCAGTTTCAGCAGCCAGCCCTCCCTGTCGGGGTTAAAGAAGGTGTGCGTGAGGTCGTTCCCGTCGTCCTCCGGGATCTTGAAGGGCTCGTTCTTGATGCTGTCGTACAGGTTCTGTCGGGAAAAGCCAGACGTTTGACTCCCGCCGTGCTCGCGGCTGAAAACTGCTGTCGCCATCCAGACTCTTTCTATCATCGGAGGATATTTTGGACTGCATTTTAAATTCATGGTAAGCTAACATAAAGCAGGCTGTAGGAAAAGGACTCGGACATCTTCAAATTAAAGCGACTGGTAGAAAGAGTCCTCCTTTGCGCTGTGCACCCCAAAAAGTGTGATCCACTTTTTATTTATTTATCATAATATCATGACATTTCCTGTCATAAGATACTCCAGCGGTCTAAAGTTTGTGTATCGTCAGAGGTGTTTTGTGTGCTTTGGGCCTTCCTCACTCTGAGCAGGTCCTCCGGCAGGTCCCCCCCGTCGTTGATTCCTCGGTTCATGGCGGTAAATCTCTGAACCGACGGCTTGTCCTTCACATTGGGGTTGTGCAGACTGGTGTTCAACATGATCACAGCAAAGGACAACACATAACAGGTGTCTGCAAACAGAAGCGGGGGGTGATTGACCCTCTCTGGACCTCAGGGTTCACATTACTGCAGGATGCGCTTAAAAATACGGATTATACACTTCCGTTTTTGTGGAGTCTATGTTTTTTGGTGTTCTCTCTCTTCTCTGTGACGCTGAGAGCTGCTGCTCCTCTGAACACGTGCTCACGTACCCGTGCTCTGAAACACTCCGGGGTTGCAGTGGCAGTAGCGCTGGGCGAAGGCCTCCATCATGCGGTCGATCTTCTGGGCCTCGCCCGGCAGCCTGAAGCTCCACAGGAACTGCCGGAGGGCCTGGACCAGGTTCAGGTCCGTGAACTCGTGCAGTTCCAGGAAGGCGTGCAGAACCTTGATGTTGAAGTCATCTCTGCTCCACGCAGGAATCCCCCACAAAGACCACGCCCACGAGCACCCGAGGGAGGAGCAGAGGCGTTATTACTACGTTACGACTTTTATCCAGAGGAGTATCAGCAGTTTCGGGGTATTGTTTATGTTCTCTAAGATATCTGTGCTAATCAAGAGTTAAAGGAAAAACTTTGTTATACGTTACCTCTCACCGAGGTAGTCGCCAATGGCCGTCTTATTAAGCCCCTCCCCCTTGTAGAGAAACTGGGCGATGTCTTCGCTGGTGTTCTTCAGCAGGGAGCTGTCGATCAGGAAGCGAATTCCCTGTGAAGGAAAATCGGATCCGGTGACAAAACACTGTCAATGTGGAGCTTCTGAGAAGTATCAGACCAGATAAAGAAATGTGCTTTTAAATAGGAGCTAAAAACTTTTACTAGTGCACAGAGCCCTGGGTCACAGCACTGCCCAGCATCCAGAAGAAGAGCTCACGTAAGCGTTAGGTTTCATCATTTTTCTGAATCTTTACCTTTGTGGGATCCATGTTAAACTTCTTTCGGCCCATGGCCATCTGCTTATTCCTCTGCATGCTTTTCCTGGAAAACAGATCAGACCTGTAAACACACGGGCTACCGGGGTGAAGCCTTTAGCGGGTCACGTTTGAAGCATTCACCCCGAAAAGTTTATTAACCGTTAGTCAGGCAAAATGAGAGGCCTCGCTCTGAGGTTTTCTCTGTTAAGCTTTGACGTGACGCAGGAGTTGGGACATGAGAAATAAAGATGAAATATGAGCTGTACAGTGCACTTCCCACACACACAAAGCACAGAAACGGTATTGGAGGGACACTCTACCTCTCTTCAGTCAGGCCCAGGTTTTCAATCTCATTGGTCACATCTGCTATCTCATCCTTCAGCCTCTGAGAGCAGACAGAGAGGAGGACAATAGTCAAACAGAGGGGAAAAAATGCATAATTTGCTAAAAGGAAAAGACAATGGACCGACACATGTGATTTCTAACCCTCATCTGAACCCTTTGGAGACGCTTTGATTTCATCGTGGCAAAAGCGCTGGGCGTTTCACTGACCAATCGTCTGACTGGACAGATGACCCACTAAAGACGGGTTCATTCTTCCTCCCAGCAGGACTTTGGCCCGGCAGCTTCTCCCCTCTGGGATCTGGAGCACCTGCTCTGGGTCAGGATCCACAGCCCTAACCCCGTTTCCCCTCTTCCCACTTCTCCTCTCGCCTCCCTCTGCTGACCCAGATTCACCAGCCCATGGGCCCCCCCCTCCCTCGCCAGTGCCCAGCACCCCCCACCCCCCCGTGGCTCGGTTTGAGCTTCACTGGGAGGCCAGAGGAGCTTCCGGGATCAGGGGCTGTGGCCGGCTTAGAGGAGCCAGCGGCTGGGAGTGGAAGCAGGAGTTTGGACACAGATGGGGACAGGGCGAGCCAGCAGAGCCAAACGGACCCGGGCGGGCGGGAGGAGACAGAGCCACCGCCTCGGATGGGATCGGGTCCAGCTCTGGGTGGGGCTCTGGGTGGGGGCCAGAGCTGCTCCTGCACCTCTGTCCTACTGCAAACGCCCTCCCATCTCCGTTACTGGAATATTTCACGGCCCGTTACCCATCAGTCCCTGAGGGGCAGACAGGGTGGAGCTACGGTGGGGGGGGGGCCCCCGAGTCGACCTCTGTAACACCTCCCCCCCCGTTGGTTTCCAGAGTCCCTGCCTCAGGGCTGCATGGCTGTGTGCAGGCCGTGGCCTCCCACCACCAAAGCACACTGTTCAAAGGTAGATCCATTCCCTTTATTTCCCCTTTTTGGGCCGCATTTTTTTATTTAGGGCAGTTTGATCCTTTGCAAATCTCAAGGAGACCATAAACTGAGGATTAAACAAGAGCTCTAAGCTGCTGAGGATTTCACAAACACAAACGTGGATCCGGACCGAAGCCTGTGGACAGAACCCAACCGAAGGAGTATCTCATTCACTAGGGACTGTTTCTGAAAATCTTATTCAAAATGAAGACAGAAACTGGTGAAAATCAACAAGCTTTTCCCTGAGCTCAGACATCGATGATCAGTTTCCAGGTCCTTTAGTTTCAGTTGATCAAACGAGATAAAAAAACTGGTCGGATGTTTCATAGTTTCCTACTGACAGAAAAACTGAATCCTCTAAACTCTCGCAGTCATTAAATTATTTGAGGATTTGAACCCTTTGTTAAATTAGAAGCTAGCAGGGAACACCACATTGGAAGTGGGTGGTGATGGTCGCCAATATATGACAGACAGTTAAAGACAGGTTTTCAGTTTCTGTAACCCAAAAGAAAAAAAAGACTGCTCTGTTTATGTACTGTTCATTTTGTTGTCAAATTTCTGACCGGCTCTGCCCTTTATCAGACATTCCCAGCCCACACAGGAAGCCCTGCTCATTTATTTAAGGCTGCACAGGTAACAGCAGGAGGACGCACACACACACACACACACACACACACACACAAACACGGGAGGAGCCGGAGGATCATCTGTCTGAAATGTGCACAGTAACGCTCTGATGATGGAACAGACGTCCCTTATAACAAACACACATTCATTCACCGACACCCTCATCTGGAAACAGATGTTCACATGTAGTCAAGGACACAAAGAGGAGACACAGTTCAATGTGATATTTAAGAACACACACACATAAACACACACAAGGTTTTGTAATTCCTGTCAGTTTCTGGACTGACAGAATTAAAATAACATAAGAAATAATCCTCACAGTTACACTGCAAATGTCAAGATATCTAAAACATCGCTCTATTTTCATCGAGAAGTGAACCTGTTTTTTGGTTTGTTTTTTTTAAATCAGGGAAAGTCTTGATGAAAGATAAAGATCAGATGACATGTGGTGAGATCGAATCTGTGTGTGAGTCAGGATGTCTTTCTGTGGGCTTCCCCTCTTTTTACCGTCCAAAGCGCCCCGAGGACTTCTTTGTGGGTCTTTGACTGAAGTTTTCATTTTGAACGCACACATTTTCTTGTCCTTAGAAGACACATAATTAGCTAAACCCTCTAACTGTGTCTGTTTCACACTGTTTCTTCAGAGGTGTGGACATAAAGAAAGCATTTTGAAAAACCACCTTTGGTTTAAGAGGCTCATAAAGGCCAATGGCTTAAAGTACTTTTCTTCTTTGATGAGGGTTCTTGTTACATGCAGACTTCCCACGATGCACTGGGCTCTTCATGCTTTTATGACTGTGTACTGGCTGTGATTAGCTTGGTGTGTCTCTATCTCATAGTTTTTGCTTTCTTTCTTTTGCCTGCTGCTGCTATTTCTGGTCGCCTTTCGTTATTCTAGTGTTACTTATTGTTGTTTCTCTGGTCTTAAAACCAGTAAAGACTCCCTTGGCTTGGTCCTGGTGAAGGTTTGTCCTTGTTCAAAAGGGAGTAGCTCCCTTCCCCTCCCCCACAGCCACCAAGTGTTGCTCAAGGTTGGTATTGTTTGGTTGCCCCTGATAGCGTCAGATTTGGACCGTATATTGTTAGGAGTATAATAATACCAGCCGTGTCCCTGAAAGAACAGACGCAAACTTTCTGCATATCTGCGTCCTCTCACGGCCGACCGGGGCCGTAGATAACTGAGGCTTTTGCAAACACGTTCAAGGCAAGAACGATACGCGTAGCTGTTTCTGTGCCTATGGAGGAGTTTCAGGCCTCAGGCGAACTCGGCTCGGATTTCATTTAGACTTTTAAAGCTGGTGAGAGGATCTGGGTCGCGTCTTACTTGGATGTCCTGCAGCAGCTCTTGTTTCCGGCGGCGGATGCTCTCCAGCTCCTGTCGCTCCTCCGGACTGAGGTCATCGGGCACTGGGGGCAGAGGAGCACACAGCACTCAGAGATCAAACGCCGTCCCTTCCAGACAACCGAGTTACAGAACATCCACACCAAGAAAGGAGACCCCAGAGTGCCACTGGTCCGGGGTCACTATGGCAACGCAGTCTTTGATCCATCAAATTACACTCTCATCATCACCCAGACAGACACGAAGGGGAAGGAGGAAAAAAATAAAAAATCAAACTCCTTATGCAATCATGCAGGTGTACAAACACATTAGGATGGAAACGATGACCACTGGCTAACGAGGGGGAAATAATCCCAGTAAATACTCATCGGAACAAAGCAGAGATTAGCAAAGGAAAGCTTTAGAGTTGGCACGGACACATTTTATCCAACCGCTTTTGTACAGTTCAAAGGGTTTTAAATTAGATTCTCACTGTTATACTTACTGACAGGTTTTTTTTTATGCTTTGTGAGCAATCTTAAATGAATCACCTAAATATAATATATAATTAAGCACTTAAGTGCTGTCTGGGAGAAAAGATTTGCACCTCTGACACAAAGAGTCCAAAAACAGAAAAGCGTAACGAGTCAACGTCACATTAGACCTGGGGAGGGATGCATTTGTCAAGTTCAAATGAGCACACTGTCTCAGGCCCTCTGTGTGAAACACACCCATAACGCAAGACGAGCGAGTGTGTGTGCTCCGATAGGCCAGAAGTTCACCCCCTCACAGACGTTCTCTGCATCTGCAGGCCGATGATAAAGAGGCTGGTGCAGATCTGATGGAGTTGGGGTGTGGGGGGGGGTTCACGATTCAGCAGAATAGAACAAGAGATGTCAGCAGTAAGGAATGGACACAGAGACACAGATCTTCACTTTTCATGTCCGCATGGCTCCTCTGAAAGCTCCAGCATACCTTCCATGGGTCTCATGCTCTTTTTTTTCTGCCTCGAATGCATATAATATGCCATAACTAAGAAAATCAGAGGAAAATGAGCAAAATTGCTGCTGAATAACAAGCAGCCGCAGAGGGCAGATCCAGCTGAGCGGCTGCTGTTTGTCAGCCTCGTTAGAGGACTCCCGCTGAGGGTTTGGAGAAAATCCGCGTCAGTCGGAGCTCCGCCAAGACGAAATGAAGCCCGACTGTATCAACTGAAAGACGGATGAGAAAAGGGACATTTTGGGTTTTATAACGGCTCCGTTTTAACCCGACGGGACAAAACTGTGACGCGACTCACTCCGATTTTTAAAGGGGCTGGAAACGGACAGCCACAGCTGATGTCGGAGTGTGAAGCTTAACTTAAGACACTGGTCATGTCCTCGACACATTCCAACTACGCTCGCATCCTATTCTCCTGCCTGGTCACGAGGGTGCTCCACCCAAACGTCCAAACAGCAGACTATTCCTGGACACACGGTCTGGTCATTCATCTGAAAATGTTAAAAGAAATCTAAAATACCAAGAGACTTGGATGCGAATATTCAATCTACATCCTGCATGAACACACTGACTCATCACACACACACACACACAAACACACACCCCTCACCCAGAGAATGGTTTAAGTAGGCCGGAGCAGCTCTTATTATAAACCTTAGGACAAGAATATCACACCATTATGAGACGGGAGGCAGTGAAACTGTTATTTGCAGTCACTTCCTCTCTCTTCCTTTTTAGCTCAGTGGAGGAAGAAAAAAAAAAAGACTGTTTATGACAGCTTCTGAAACACTGTCCTATCATCTTTCCAACCTCCAAACACACAAACAGAAGCGTCTCTCATTGATATCAACACCATTTGGGCTTCTTTTCCACTGAGCTGATCCGGTTTTTTGAGGTCATCGAGCATGCGGGGCAGAGAAACGGGACACCCCGTCGATCGGCTGCTCGGGACTAAAGTTTGCCCTCTTTCCTTCTTCCACTCTCCGCTCAGCAAGCCACGTAGCGTAACGCATCCGGCCGAGGATGCGCAGAAGCAACCGGAGGCACTCGTCAGCCTGCCGGCAGGTTTCCTGCTCTCACAGGAAGACGCCGCCACCGACACGTCCACATCCACTCATTCGGGTAAAGCCGGTGCAGAAAAGCAGCCCTGCAGAAGTCCCGCTGACGCACCGCACGCCCACACGCCCCCGTCACAATCTGGATGCTCATACCGGAGGAGGCTGGCCGCCGGACTGGGCGCTCCAAGAACACAGTATTCGGCCCAGGCTCCAAGTATGGCTCCACTGTCCACAGATCAGACTCCGGCCCCCTTCTCGCTAGGCCGGATTTTCAAACGTAAACCAAAAAAGAAAAAGAAAAAGAAAAAAGCCCTGCACAACTTTGTCAGTCCCAGTCCTGAGGTCCTACTGTCCAGCCTCCCTAACTCTCTAATCCTAAGGCTCTCATTCAGGCAGAAGGGGGAGGAGGAGGAGGAGGAGGAGGGCAGCCCACATGCAGCTAAACGAGGACAAACTGTTTTTTTTTAAGTGTGTGTGAGGGGAAACCCTTGAACTCTCTACTCCGTGCCCTCTGCTTCTGTCCGTCTGGGCCCCTCCCTGCGACCTCGCTCCCTCCCTCAACGGGCCGGGCGTAAAACACAGGCTCCCTCACGCGGACGCCGACACCCAAGACGGGTTAGCGGTCACCAGCCGCGAACGCAGCCACGAACGCATCTTTAAAGTAATCTACAGTGAAGAAACCAAGAGGGAGCGGACACTGAGCTCTTCAGTTTCTGCCCATCACATGTAGATAGTCACAGAAAAGAACATGACTCAAGGCCCAGGGCGGCACAGTTTATCCATGACAAGAAAAATATCTGTTTTGTTTTTTGCTTTTTCAGATTGAGACCTTTAGAGTCGCCACCGTTCACAAGGCCATAATTGTACATTTCAGAGTTCCCTGGCCTGAGGACACCCAGCTCAGCAGACTTTATGTGGCCCTGTTTGCTTCCTGGCTGCATTCATAATGTGCAGCCTTCAGGCTCACAAGTCCAGCAAGTCAAGAGACAAAAACAAATAGGAAGCCGGGCAGGCCAAATATAAAACTGAGACGGGAAACACAGAACATCCTAATGTGACGGGGAGAAAAATAGGACCTTCTTCTCAACGTGCATTGAACTTGCATTGTGAAAAGGTCATTCATTATAAAAGGAAACGTGGACAAACGATGTTACCACAGAAAAGGCGGCTTTATGTTTTTATTTGATCTAGTTTTCTTCCAGTTCCAGAGGTGTGGTTTTGACGCTTTAGACCAAGACCCTCGTAGTCCAAAACTTTACAAGCACAAAAAACTGCCACATCCAGATTTAGTGAGGATTCATCAGACACTCAGTTTTAAAAAAACCTGCCCAAAATAGTTATGCTAAACGATGACAGTCTGTGACAGAACAGGAGTCAGAGTGGTGATGTGACGGTGAGGCTGTTTCCTGTGGTAAGCGTAAAGTCCCATTTGGTTAAAACGTCTGTTGCTCAGACAGCTTTTCCTGTTCAGTTGAAGAAGATCTGGAACACAGTGTTTCTGTATAAACCACAAATCTGACAGCTGTTCCAAGTTGGTTGATTAAAAAACAAACCGTTCTAAACTCAAATTTATTCTGAATACTTTTATAGACCCTTATGTATTTCTTCATTTTTCACTGTTGTGTTTTATTTACCCCCCCCTCCCCCAGTGAGACAAGTGCTGCAAACCGGCATGTGTTATAAACACTTTGATACTCCCAATGGAACGCTGTCTTCTGTTTATCTCTATAAGTTTGTTTCTGTCCCCATCAAATACATTTTCTCATAAATATATATAGCGCCAGCCCTGACTCGTAGCCCATTTCTACAGGGTCGCCCCCCCCCCCCCCCCCAATCGTACCCAAATTTGACCTTCGTTTTGCTAGTACAATAGGTTAATGTGGAATACATCCTGCAGCAACAGCTTCAACTTTAACAGGAAACACCAGTGCAGCTGTGCAGGCCCTGCCTCCAGACCCAGACCCAGATCCAGATCCAGACCCAAACCTAGACCCAGACCCAAACCCATCACTGGCCCCCCTCCACCTCCCACCTTCCACACAGCCCAGTTCTCTAGTGTTCAAGTTGGGAGACAGTGAGCAGCCTTTTTTTTAGGCCAATTCATTCATTTCCCTCCAATAAATGGGCGCATTGATTGCATTTATAGACACATGAACAGCCGCCCAATAAGCACAGACCCCCATGAGGTCTGGCCCAAACCCAGATCATAATAATAGATCCCTTGTGCCAGTTCGTAAAGAGGGCCAAAGAGCATTAAGGCATCAGTCACATCGGGACTTGTTGCTTTCGTTCGGCTGACAGGATGTCAAACGCTAAAAAACACGTCGAGCCTCGTGATTTGCGACTCTTCCCGCACGCACTTGTGCGTGAAGTTGAGCTAGTTGTGAGCAGCTAACCGGGTTAGCCTTTGGGATAGCGGGGCTTAGATAGAAGAGTGTCTGGAAACTCACCAACTCCGTCTTCCGACTTCAAAACCATGTTGTTTCCCTTTTCTCGGTGTTACTTCAGGAAGGAGGACTCACTCTGTCACTTTTAATGAAGTTTGCCTGTCGAAAGTTGAGCTTCTTCTACTATTTGGCTCCTGTTTAACCGGCAGTTAATGACAACTAAACTGTGCGGAGACATCCAGTGAAAGGGAAGATGACAGGGGCGTGGCCTTTGCTCACAACAACCAATCAGAGAGCAGCCCACGACCCTGCCCATCCATCCATCCATCCATCCATCCATCCATCTATCTATCTATCTATCTATCTATCTATCTATCTATCTATCTATC